AGGGTCCTGGGCCTTATCTATCCCAAGTAGAGAAAACTGCCTGTCTCATCTTGGGGAGATGTCACATGTGCTGGAAGAGTGTTGTCAGCCCCAGCATAATGAGCGTTACTGGGAGAAGCTATCAATCTGAAAGAAATGGAATATGTCAATCAGGAAGAGAATAATTGGAAACTGATTGGGAGTGGGAACCCTCTCATAAAGGTAGAGTACATTGCTTCACAAATAGTGGGGACTGACAGCCTTTCTTCTCCCTGGCTGGGGTATGAAGCTTTGTACTGGCTCCTTCGGTGAGCATGGTGTTAGAATAAGTGTGACAGATTTCAATGATTACTATACATGCTTTTCCTTGTTCTACCAGCATGCATTCTAGGGCTAGACAAATGTTCATGACTAACTTAGCTAGAGCATCCACAGACTTAAGTGCTTGCTGCAAAATCTTGTCTGTTGTCTGAGCTAGCTTGCTGCAGGCAATAGATTGTTCAAAGCGACTTCATGAGGCATGGCATGGCCTCCTACCACAGTGGGAAAACTCACCAGGGAATTTTCCTGCTGGTTTCGACTTCCTAAGGAAGAGAGAAGAGGTAATTACAGCACGTCTGACATGAAGCGCAGCAGCCTCGTCACTGATGGAACCTCAGATTTTACTTATCCTTGAGCTCTGCAATTGGCTCCAAAAGTTGGCAGTGTCTTGTGAAGATGCAAGAAGCAGAGTTAAATTCTTGACAAATGCACCCAGTTTGGAATGTCCTGGAGATGTAACTGTCAAAAGGATGCTGTGCAGCTCCTGGGAAGGTGCCCTCCATTTAAGCTATGATGGGTCAGAAAGAGACTTTTTTCCTTCCAAGTTTTTAACAAAGCTAGACCTTCTGGGGAAATCAGCTATTTGCGATCTTTGTACAGGGAGTATCTTGATGTCATTCTTGGTTAGCACCTTTCGTATCTGACGTAGATGGATAATATCCCTTACCTCATCTTGAGTTTCTGAATCAAAGAGGATATCAGAGGTAAGAAAGGGTCTCCTGCAAGGCACTTCAGATGCAGTAAGTTTTAAGCAGCCTCAAGTGCTACCCTCAGACTGCAACAGGCAATGGGCAATGCCTAAACCCTGATTCTGAGGTCTCTTGGGAAAGCTTAGCCACAGTCCTCTTAAGAGTACAATTACATGTTTACCTAGCAACTGGGCTGTCCAGACACAGAGATGATCAGAACTCTTATAGCAAAACCCAACTGCTGAATTACTCTGGAGAGAACTGTCTCTAGAGCCTTGAGGGAGAACTGTTCAAATCTAGTGCTGAGTTATTTTTGAGGATGGATCCGTCCATTCAAAGGTGAGCAAACATTGAGGTTCTGGGCTGTATGGTATGCAGAAGAAATAATTCTTCATGTCTAGGGCTGTGTACCTTGAGGTGCCTTCTGCTGTCTGTTAGTGCAGTATAAGGATTTCATCACCTCATCATTAGCACTGAGGTTCTGGGCCATTAAATATTCCCTGAGTTGGTTTTGAAACAAGCAGAATAAAGGTGTTCTAGGATGACAGGGACCTGAGTCCCCATGTTTGAGAAAATTACCAATCAGTGGATGGGGATTCATCTGACTTCTGGCTTTATATGGTAGTGAAGCAGATCAGAAAAGACAGTCTTGTCTTTAAGAGAACTCTGACAGGCACAGCATTTGTAGTATTTCCACTTTTTCTCTGGTCCCAGACCTGAAGATCTACTCTAGCATGGGAATGTGTGCAAGGCTGGGGTGTGCCTCAGTACTTTTCAGCATTAAAACAAATGACTAAAACCTAGGAGCGACTAACTTGAGAGATGTGGTCAGAGATGATAGATTCTTGCCAAGCGAAGAAGTTTGACATTCAGATATGACCACACACTGGTGAGATAAGACTTTCTGTTTGGCATGTGAGGTAAAGCAGATTTCAGAGACTAGGGTTACAATGAACACCTTAATAACGCAAGATTTTCAAGATAGGGGTCCTGGAGGAGAAGTTAGAACAGTGACTTCCGTTGTCGATTGAGAAATCAACACTCTTTGTCACTAAGAGGAGTCACCTAGGGCTTGGCCTCTACATTTTGTGTACATGTCCATGAATGTGTGTTTTCTATCATGACGGTGGCATTTTTGAAGAATTTAAAGCCACGTGTGAGCATCCAGCTTAGCTCACACATCACCACATCTTCCATTTGAGTTTGCTTCTTCCTGATGGGGAAGCTGTGTGAGAACTCTGTGAGAAGGAATGGGTGTTCATGCAGCCTCCGTCTGGTTGGTTCTACGAGCTGCCAATCTAGCAACGTGTTCATGTTTCTGACTCTGGGAGGGTCTTGGATGTTTTCAACTCCTTCCCCTTCTCCTCCCTCAGGGGAGGTGAGGCTCGGCAGGGCAAGGTGTGCTCAGAGCCTACGCTGACTCTGCCCTCACCACAGGTTCTGCGGTCTGGAAATGGCGTCCTCATCTGTGTGTACTGCTTCAGGTTCACTCATTTTCAGAGACATCAGGCAGAAGATGAGTGAGGTAGGATCAGACAGGAAACGGTCAGTGTGGATTCACTTATACCAACTAGGTGGGGCACAAAGATAAGTTACTCCTCACTAGGGTACTGAAGATTTCTCTGCACACCCCTCCTAAAACTGTTCACCTAAACTGTTGATATATGTCTTGTTAGAGTTATAAGCCAGTCTAGACTACCCAAAAAACAGCCAGGTTCAGCAAAATTATGCTACAACACTATAAAATCCTAAATACTATAATGAAAAAAGGCACGAGACAGCTGAATAATAATCTATAACCTTTTTAAGGTGTATAGAACCCGGTTGTATATAAACTAAAATTGAAATGTCAATGAAGAAGTCATAGGATGTAGTTAAGAACTTGCATTTTTTTTCCTTCTTTTAACATATTGTTACTCAATACTATGTCAATCAATTCCATAACGTTATAAATTGTGGCTGATGTTATGTTGGGGCTTTTAACTGATTGGGATGATATTCTGCCAGCTCTACCTTCAGACCAGAGATGGTCTCCTCAAGAAGCCGTTGAACTTATCTGGACAATAAGATGCTGGACACTATGCTTGGTATATGCTTGCAATGCAAGAGTCTCAACTGAACTTGAACTGTGGTAATGCAACTAAGTGGAGGGTTTAGGGAGGGGTGGGGGAAATTCCAGTGCTTATAAAACTGTGTCACATAATGCAATGTAATTAATTAAAAAAAGAAGATGAGCGAGGGAGAGAGTTGTCTGAGAATGCCTCCTGAGTGGATGGCCGACATCCCTTCCCAGCGCAGAGACTGACAGACTGACTGCTCTCCCAGACACCTGGTCTCCTGCAGGAACCCAGAGGTGACCTTGCTCAGCTTCACGCCCCACAGGCTCGATGGGGCCAGAAGAAGGAGAGTAGGCCATTCCGGAGTGGGAGCGGACGGCAGTTTGGCGTTGGAGACTTTATCTCCTAGAATTTGCCTGACACAAGACATCCCAGGCTTTAAGGTGGTGTGTTTTTCCGGTTACCCAGGTCATTACATTGTTGTAGGCAACTTTAAAAATATAAACAGTGATAATCATCTTCAATTCTGCTAGTTAGCATTCTATAACACCATCTTTAAATCATTTTTATCATTTTCAATCTTGTCACAGTAATGAGATGTTCTCACTCATACAGAAACAAAGAAACAAAAATATAGGGAAATTGATCTTTACAGGAACACCAGCCTTGTTGCAAAAGCTGAAAAATATATAAGGATAGCAACATATTCTGGGACGCACAAACCAAGTGTGAGGGAATGGGCAGATGAAGCAGAAAAACAAGTGGCCAAGTGTTATAGAAAAAAAGTGTTGATGGAGAACACAGATAAAGCACATCTGTTACTGTCATCGTTGTGCCCGGGGAAGAGAGGAGGGAAAAACCCTATGAGATAAAGTTTTAAAATGATAGATAGTGCCTGAAATAGATAAACCCAGAAGCGCATCTGGACAGAAGGACTCTGCTCTTTTACTCAGCTCGGTAAGACAGCTGTGTCACACGGGACACTCAAGCAGTCTGCAAGGGGACCGAGGTAGGGCGGCATCCCACCCTAGTTAGCGTTTAAATATGGCAGACAGTGGACTTCGATTTTTTTTTTTTTTAGTTTCCTACATGATGAAATTAAATGCTTTTGTGTGATCCAACTGCCTTCTAGCTTGGGGACAGGCTGCTCCAGAGTGGAGGGCATAGAATGCACGTTGTTCTTTAGAGAAATTTTCAAAATGTCCTGCAGAAGTGTGAGAGAGAGAGAGCTGCAGGTCATGGGAGAGGCCGTTGATCTGATGGAGGAGAAACGGAAGAACGGAGGACACGATGTGGTCGTGTCGAATGCCTTGGAAAGAGATAAGAGGATGATTGACTGTGGAGCGTTTGAGTACAGAACAGAATCTAAATGTCATGAAATGTATGGAAACAAATGAAAGGAACATTGGGCTTGGCTGTGTGGCGGAGGGGAAGTGGAGAGGCAGAGAAAGTCTGACTGTAGTCGAAGGGCGCCGTCGTGCCAAGAACGTGCAAATAAAAATAGAGCAGGAGCGTTGGAATACTGCCTGGCAAGTTTTAACAAAAAGAGCGCAAATAGTAAAGAGAGGCAAACGCTAGGTAAAGATTAGAATCCACAGTGAAGAGCTGTCAGGCAGCAAATGTGAGGAATCCGTGCAGATGGAAGTGCGGGAGATTCAGGCGACTAATTACCTTTCTCAGCTAACAGTAAATCAAGTAAATGATAGCAAGTGGAAACGAGGGAAGACAGACAATAACTAAGAATCACAAAAGGGCTTCATATGGATTAGGTGTGTTAGAACAAAAAGAATAGAAAAAGTAGCAGTTGGATTTATTCAGGCACTTGCAGATTGCAATGTCCTCAGAATGAGAGGTCAGCTGCCGTGGCAGGCTCTGCCGTGGCAGGCTCTGCCGTGGCAGGCTCTGCCGTGGCAGGCTCTGCCGTGGCAGGCTCTGCCGTGGCAGGCTCTGCCGTGGCAGGCTCTGCCGTGGCAGGCTCTGCCGTGGCCCTCCCTCCTGTTGCGGTGGAGAGATCTAGCACTTGTTAGGGAAGCAATGTCCCCCAGCAGACTGCAAATGTGACACCATTTTAGCCAAAGAAATATAATGGTAGGTTCTAGAAAAGCTTTTAGCTTCTGGATCAGGACCCACCTTTGTTGCTTGCCATGTATGATGATGAGACTCCTGGGAAGGGGCAGCCCTCTTGTCACCACGAGGACTATTGACCTGCACGCTTGGGATGGGCCAGGGAAAGGTAGGGTGGGGCTTCAGTTGGAGCCACTTCTGGGAATGAGAAACACAGCCCTTACCCAAGCCTCCACTGCTGTTGTGTCCATATTGCAGTTGAATGATAACCGACAGAGGAATCAAATCACAAATTCTCTACAATCTGGAAATAACCAACTCAAGAACACCAGCTGTACAGAACTCTTAGAAGACGGTTCTCATGAGGACTTCTGATTAGATGGTTAAGGATGTACATGACTGTCTAATGCAGCCACGGAGGAAAGTGAGGCAGCAGGCGAGTCACTGCTTAGGACACCGGCACCCCACACCATAGTGCTTTGTTGGGTCCTCTGCTTCCACACCAGCTCACTAAGGTGTGTGTGTGTCAGGGCGGGCAGCAGCTCAAATGCTCTACTTGGGGTCCCTATCACCCACATGGGAAGTGTAGATTGAGGTTTCTGAGTTTGGTCTGGACCCACTATGCTGTGGCCTTTGAGGCATCTGGGGAGAGAAGCAGCAGGTGAAGTTTCTTTTCCTGCTTTTCTAATAGAACGGGAATAGCAGTTTAATGCACTCAATACTCTCACTTAAGTTATCGAAGCATGAAGGGCACAGAAGAACTGGTAGCTGTGTAAATTATTTTCCCAGCCAGAAATATAAGCAAGGGGAAAGGCAGGTAGGCAGCTAGTCCCAAGGGGATCTGCCACCCCAGATGGACTTGAACTTGAGTGTTCATGGCACTGAATTTAGGAGACAACATCTGGGCTGATCTCAGAGGGGCAGTGTGATGGTAAATGCCTTTCCTATAAACTTGGGAGTCTTGCAGGAACATACAATGAAGAGTGTAAAGTATTAAGCAAAAGCAGACCCTTCCCCACAAATCCCACCTTTATGTAAACAAGGAGAAAGCAGGCATTCATCGCAATAAACTGGGAACCAAGCTGGGCCTAGTGTGTGTTCCCCATCTGGTCCTTCTAGATTGTCGTACAATATTCAATATAAAAGCTTAAGTCCTACATACCAGAGAGAGGCACTTGGTATAAACTAATGCTGATTCTGTAGGGAGGAGTCTCGGTTCTCCCCAGTGCCCCAAACATTCACCTCAATAAAACCCCAAAAGGAAAGGCAGTAAAAATACCCAAGGAAACAGAACACTGGGTAAGAGAGGCAGGAGAAACGGCCCTCACCAGGACAGGACTCCAAGGCCAAGACCAGTGGCATTGTTTTGCCACTTAAAATGAGCTCATTCTGGAACATAGAAGAACAGACACACAAACTATTCGTCAGGAGCAACATGTGTTTAACCCCCTGGGAGGCACAGCTGCTCCATCCCAGGGCAGAGCTGGCTCTGAGGAACAACAAGCAGTCCCAGGGAAGTCAGGTTCTGCTGGGAACTGCTGTCCTCCCTCCCTCGGCAGTGCTCCCTAGGCTGGGAACTGCTGTCTGCTCTGCGCTGGGCAGTGCTCCCTGGGCTGGGAACTGCTGTCCTCCCTGCGCTGGGCAGTGCTCCCTGGGCTGGGAACTGCTGTCCGCTCTGTGCTGGGCAGTGCTCCCTGGGCTGGGAACTGCTGTCCGCTCTGTGCTGGGCAGTGCTCCCTGTGCTGGGAACTGCTGTCCGCTCTGTGCTGGGCAGTGCTCCCTGTGCTGGGAATTGCTGTCTGCCCTGTGCTGGGCAGTGCTCCCTGTGCTGGGAACTGCTGTCCGCTCTGTGCTGGGCAGTGCTCCCTGTGCTGGAAACTGCTGTCTGCCCTCACTGGGCAGTGCTCCCTGTGCTGGGAACTGCTGTCTGCTCTGCGCTGGGCAGTGCTCCCTGGGCTGGGAACTGCTGTCCTCCCTGCGCTGGGCAGTGCTCCCTGTGCTGGGAACTGCTGTCCGCTCTGTGCTGGGCAGTGCTCCCTGTGCTGGGAACTGCTGTCCGCTCTGTGCTGGGCAGTGCTCCCTGGGCTGGGAACTGCTGTCCGCCCTCACTGGGCAGTGCTCCCTGGGCAGTTTCCTTTCTTCTTGTAAAGATAAAACACCCTGCTCATCTTTCCCTAAGTAGCTTTTTAGGTGTTTGTGTGGTAAAGACAATTCTCATACGGTATTTAAAAGTGTGTATCTTGCTTATGAGGGAACTGATAGGGAGTGGATAGTCTAAACACGATCCCTGTTGTTGTATTGGTTATTTTATGGATGCAATGCTCCCACAAAACCCAGTGGGTGGAGGCAGCGCTTTCTTCCTCACATCTTCAGTTGTATTTGGTTTCCCCATTGTTCCTGTTACACCGCAGACACCTGCAAAGTGCCATGGCGGTGCAGCAGGGGAGCTGCAAAGGTCCTACTGTGAGGAGTCGGAGTATGGCGCAGTCTTGCTACTTACTCGGCTGAGATGAGCATGCTGTAGTGTATAAAAGATAACACTTTTTTTTTTTTAAATCTGTAAGGCAGAAAGAGGGAAATAGACAAAGGCAGACCTTTCACCCACTGACTTACTCCCCAGATGCCCACAAGAGCGGTGGTGGGCCCAAGGCTAGACCGGAAGCCCCGAGCGCCATCCAGGTCTTCCCCAGAAGTGGCTTGATCTGACATGACGTGAATGTTGATGGGAAACTGAGTCAGAAGCAGAACGGGACTCCGATCTGGAACGTGGTGACCAAGCAGCAGAGTCATCACTGAGTTCAATTGCCCTCCCTAGCTGAGTGCACTCTTAACGGATGCAAACAAGCGAGGTGTGAGCGAGGACAAGAGGAAACTTGTAGGGACAATAAGAAGAAAATCAGCTGTGACCATTGTCAGAACCTGTGAAGAGGAGGGTCTGTCGGTCGTGTTCTGAAGCTGTTCAGGCTGTCAGCGTGAATCACGTGGTCTTTGGCATTGTTCACTCGCGGCCTCTCACTTCCCTGACCTCAGTGAAAGGGCCAGTCCTGTCCTACGCCTGGCTAACGTCCCCAAGTGACCCTCCCTCCTGTGATTCTGCATCCTTGTCTGGCTTCGTGTTCTTGTAGCATCTTTTGGTTAGCCATTCCCCTGCATCGCAAGAGTCTAGTAGTCCTCACTGACTCCAAGAAGTGATTGTGCCCAGTGCGATAACTCAGGATGTATCTTTCCAAATAAATAAATACCTAGAATAGTTTGAAAAGAGAAATAAATTGTCCTTGAATTCAATATTTCCTGTCATCTACCGTAATCCATATTTTCTGTTTCAAACCTGTGCCAACTCAATCTACTAAAACCCATGTCTTAGTACTAAGTAAGTACTATATGTTAGTACTGAGATACATGTAGGTACTTTGTAAACTTATTTATTCTTCATAACAGACTTCAACTATAGACACTACAAAAAAAAGAATAAGAAGAATGGGACCAAGAAAAAAACACTATCTAAAGGTTGGACAGTGTGTGTCAAAGCATAAAATGAGGGCCCAATGCAGTAGCCTAGCGGCTACAGTCCTCACCTTGAACATACCAGGATCCCAAATGGGCTCTGGTTCTAATCCCGGCACCACTACTTCCCATCCAGCTCCATGCTTGTGTCCTGGGAAAGCAGTCGAGGACAGCCAAAGACTTGGGACCCACTTGGAAGACTCGGAAGAGGCTCCGGGCTCCTGGCTTTGGATTGGCTCAGCTCCGGCGGTTGCTTACTAGAAGATCTTCCTCTCTGTCTGTCCTCCTTTCTATATATATGACTTTGCAATAAAAATAAATACATCTCTAAGAAAGCAGGAAGTGAGCTATGGAAAATTACCCCCCCCCAATTTTTATTTTCAAGTCTTATTCATGCTGTTTGTGCGTGCATAAATCATGTTCCATTGGTGCTTGCCCGTGATTTGAACATTCTGAAAGCCAGTTCTGTGTGCTTTTTTCACCCTGTTTGGGCTCTTCCTAATCCTTTCTCCCCCTTGATCTCGACAACTCCCTGCGCAGCCTTGGGTTCCCTGTGCCTTCTCGCTCCTCGTGCGGAGAAGCCGCGCAACGTTGCTTGGTCTCTGAGCTCACATGACTGGATCTCGTCTGATGAAAACCTTGATCTGATACCAGGGAGGTCAGTCAGTTAAGTTTGCAGGGACTGACTTGAAATGAAATCTGATATAAACAATAGGAAAGGAACTTCTTTAAAAATGTGGGAACTGAATTGTAGGAAGGTGTAATTGACATGCTAGGTTGAGACTCTAAGTGGGGGCAAACAGGGAGGGGAGAGTGGACCCTGTGTGAAAAATGTGAGATAGTTCACTCTCCAAATGGTCACAATGCCCAGAGCTGAGCTGAGCCGTAGCTGGGAGCCAGAGGCTTCCTCCCAGTTTCCCACTGGGCGTAGGGGTCCATGGACTCAGATCATGCTGTGCTGCTATCCCAAGCCAGAGAGATGGAAGAGAAGTGGAGCATCGGGCACACACCAGTGCCCAAAGGGGGTGCAGGTTTTAGCAGTGAAGGATTAGTGTGCAAGCACTGCATTTTTAGTGCAAGGATAAAGTTAAGTAACAGATTCCTTCTACTGAATCTCAAAGTCAGTTTCTTCGGAGCTGTTGCTAGAACAGTGAGGGAGCAGGCAGGAGAGAAGAGAAGCAAGCAAATGATGTCTAGGTCCAACTCAATTTTGTCTGCATCAAGAGAGTGCAGACCTGCAGGTAAGTTTATCGTTCTTGCACTGCAAGGGCGTGGCAACTGGCCTGTGAGAATCCAACAACAGCTTCAGTAGGAGGCCATGGCAGAGTGGCACGGAAGTGGGGCCTCGCCTGTCTGTGGTTGTGAGAAGAGGCTGCTGTGTTGGTGTCAAACCACACCTTTCTCTAGTTTCACAGTAATGTTGAGCTCACACTCTGCTAGGCGTGTGCTTGTTCCTGTCTGACTCCATAAAATCAGAAGGATTTAGCCTTGGGTAGAACTGAGTTCTTTTCACAGACATATTTCTTTCTTACCTCTGTGAAGGATTTCACAGTAAAAGCGTCTGAGCTGTGGAAGTTCTCGGCTGTGAATTCGACCTCAGCTACAATTTGAATATAGGTTTTCAAAACCAGAGCACTATCTCATCTTAGAATTGATGTTTATTTCCTCTGTGTTGTCAAATTTATTGTCACTAAGTTACTCACAGTATTCACGATATTTTTCCCCGTCTGGAGTGTCTGTAGTGATGTCTCCTGAACCCCGGTCTTGGTGTTTTGCGCGTTCATTATCCTAATAGTGGCCTGGCGAGAGGCTTGTCTGTTGATATTTTCACCAAGCAACTTTTACTGATTTTCTTGGTTTTCCATTTTCATTTTTATTGAAATGTGACTTAACAAATATTTTCTTACCATAGAGATCATACTTTTTTTCTTTTTCTAATGTAAGGGTTAATGATACAACATTTACACCTTGGTGTAGTTACAAGTTGCACTTTGGAAATTCTAACATGTTTTATTTTTTATTTGTCAATTAAAATATTTCCTCATTTATCATATTTTCTTTTTTGACCCAATGAGGATGATGAATCCATAATGCAGTTGAGCGGTATTTTGGAGTCTTCTGGATGTTGCTGTCTCATTAAATTCCATGATGTTCAGATCACTTCCGTTGTGTAAATTCAACTTGATTCAATTTTAAGACTCACCACAAGATTTATTTTTGAGTGTTCCATGCACACTACAAGAGTTTGTAACACACTTTTGTTCTTTGTATATGAATTAGGCCAAGTGAGCTAATTTTCTTGTTAGTCTTCTGCATGCTTACTGGTTGTTTTTAAATCGTCCTGTGTGTTAATGAGAAGAGAGTGTTGAAATACCAGCTGGCATTTTTCTCCTTCCAGTTCTGGAAGTTTGGCTTTGCGTGCAGTGGAGGATCTTTTGCCTACCTGCACATCTGGAATTCTTAGTCTCTTTGTGATTGTAATACAACCCTCTGTGTCGACGGCAATCTTTCTCCTTTGGAGCTGCAGCTTTGATGTCTACACAGCCGTTCTTGGGACTTGTGCTGGCTTGGCATGTGTGGTGGCCCTTTAGGACCCTGCCCACCGACCGCCTCTTCCTTCTCCCTCCTTTTTAGTCCCCTTTCTCGTTCCTTTAGTTTGTGTATTTTGTCTTCTGTTTTTCATGTTTACAATTTCTTTTCCTCTTTCACACCGTGTGTGAGCTCATCCACTGAGTTTCAAAATATTAATTATTACAGTTTAAAATTTTTTTAGTTACAAAACAAATTTCATGTATTTAATATGTTTTCAAGATACTAATGAAACAACCTCTTACTCTCCCTTCCTGTCACCTCCCTTTTTCTTTTTTTTCCTTTCCTTTTAGTTATTTTTAATGACATATTTTCCATTTTCTTTATAATCATAAGCTCAACTCTGTTAAATACAGAAAAAAAAACAACTATTCCTTAAAAGTACGGGTGTGGCTATAAACAAAAATCATGTCACAAAATGTCAATTTTGCTAATAAATACTACATTTTTATATTCTGCATATTCGTTAAAATCATGAGAACAGTTGATATACTTGTCTTTTGGAGGCTGACTTATTTCACTAAGTGTTGTGATTCCCACTTACATCCATTTTGTTGTGATTTTCAGGATTTAATTACTTTTTTGTGACTGGGTATTCTTCCGTTGTGTGTTTATACCATAATTTTTAATCTGGTCTTCAGTTCCTACCTTCTGACTGTGAGCTGAGCTGCTATGGGCATAAAGTGTAAATAATTCTTTAATTTTCTGATTTCACGTTCTTTGGGCAGATTTCCGGGGCTGGAATCTCTTGATCCGAGGTCTGTCCTCAGAGTTCTGAGGAAGGTCCCTGCTGTCTTCCATAATGTCTGTGCCAGCCTGCGTTCCTACAGCAATGTGTTAGGATGCCTTATTCCCCACACGCTCAACATGATTTGTCGGTTTGTGAGTTTCAGGAGGTTGCCATCCAATTGGGATGCAGTGAATTCTCCTGGTGGTTTTGACCTCATTTATCTGATGACTGGGGATCCTGAGCACCTTTTCTCGTGTCTGTTGGCCATTTTCATTTCATCCTTTTAAAAATACCTGACTTTGAAATGTCTGTTTTTAGTTTTATATATCAACGAGAGCTTCTCTGGGTATAACATTATGGTTTGGCAGATTAAATTTTTTTTTTCTTTTAGTACCGGGCCTGTGTTTTTCCAATATTTCCGTGCCTGTGCAGTTTCTGGGGAGAAAGCAGCGATCTAACTGGGAGTCCTGCGAAGGTAGCCCGGTGTTTTTCAATCTTTTCTTCTTATGTTTCGCCTTTACCATGGAGATCTTCTCTGGTCTTATGTCAATCAGTCCTCTGCTATTGTTCACCCTAAGTGCCTTCTAACCTGTTCTCTCCTTCCTCAGACATGCATGTTTGCTTATTGGAGAGTATGCCACAAATCTTGACACTATCTGGTTTTCCAAACCTTTGTGTGTGTGTATGTGTGTGACTGAGATGTTTCCTGTAGCTCAGATATTCCGTCTACTGCCTCACCATGTCTGTTGCTAAGGCTTTCCACTGCATTATTTCCACATTGGATCTTTCACTTCCAATATTTCACTTTTATTTCCTGTCATGATTTCTACCTTCTGGTAGAATTTTTCATTGATGCCATAAAGTGTTTTTTATTTTTTTGTTAGAAAGACAGACTTACAGAGAGGAGAGACAGAAAGAGAAAGAACTTCCATTCCCCAAGTGGCCCCAGTGGTTGGAGCTGAGCTGATTCAAAGCCAGGAGCCAGGAGCCAGGAGCCAGGAGCTTCTGGGTCTCCCATGCTGGTGCAGGGTCCCAAGGCTTTGGGCCGTCCTCCACCGCCTTCCCAGGCCTCAAGCTCAGAGCTGGAAGAGAAGTAGAGCAGCCAGTATGCAACGGTGCCCATTTTGGATCCTGGTGCAAGCAAGGCGAGGATTTAGCCACTAGGCTATCATGTGGGCCCAGTTATGTTTTTTACTGAAAATATTTTTCATGTGGTTGATTTTGTTCTTTTTCTTATTTTTTCTTTTAAAGATTTATTTATTTTCATTGGAAAGTCAGATATAGAGCGAGAAGGGAAGACGGAGAGGAAGATCTTCTGTTGGCTGATTCACTTCCTAAATGGCTGCAGTGGAAAGAGCTGAGCCAGTTTGAAGTCAGGAACCAGGAGCTCTTGCGGGTCTCCCACGCAGGTGCAGAGTCACAAGCCTCTAAGCTGGCCTTGACTGTTTTCGAAGGCTACAAGCAGGGAGCTGGATGGGAAGAGGGGCTGCTGGGACATGAACTGGCACCCATAGGTGAACCTGGCACTTGTAAGGTGAGGACTTCAGCCGCTAGGCTACCATGCTGGGCCCTTTGTTTCCTGTTTCTTTGCTAGTCCTGTTTTACTTTTGTTTGCTTCAGTCAAGTTCATATCTGCTTTTTATTAAGGATCTGTTTTTATTTGAAAGTCGTATTTTAGAGATTGAGCGAGAGACAGGGAGTGGGGTCTTCTACCTGCTGGCTCATTCGTCAGCTGGCTGTAATGGCCAGAGCTGAGCCCATGTGAAGCCAGGAGCCAGGCTGCAGGGTTCCACGCACTTGGGCCAGCCTCTGATGTTTTTTAAGGCCTAAGGAGGGAATTGGATGGGAAGTGGGGCAGTCAGGACTAGAACTTGTTTCCATATGGGATGCCAGTGATGCAGTTGGAAAATTAGCCTGCAGCCCCTATATCTACTTCTAAATTTTATTCATTTAAAAAAAGATTTATTAATTGAAAGGGACATATATAAAGGGATATATATATATAGAGAGAGAGAGAGAGGGAGAAAGAGATGGAGAGAGAGAGAGTTGTGTGCTAGGGCCTTCTTTTGCTGCTTTCTCAGTCATGTAAGCAGGTGCTAACTGGAAGTGGAACAGTCAGAGCCGGACTGGTGCCCATACAGGATGCCCTCATTACAGGCGTTGTTGAACCCAGTGTGCCACAACAGCGGCCTGATGCCTGCTTGGTGAATCATTTTTATGATGGCTGCTTTGAAATCTTAGATAATTCGGATTTATGTATCATGTTGTTGGAATCTATTGACTTTCTGCTCGCTCTCTTTGAGGTCTTCCTGTTTCTCAGTATGATGGAGTCTGCACATATTGTATTCTGGATCCTCTTAATATTTTTCCTTTTTTCTGAGTCCCTTTTAACATACTGCTCCAGGGGAAGTGAGGACGGTGACACCTTCCTGTTAGGCAGGCTTGGAGACGGCCCCAACTCAGTCTCGAGTGGCCCAGGAGTGGAGGAGGGGCTTACCGTTTGTGGGTGTGAGTGGACTCTTCCAACTCTTCACTAGATCTTTTCTGAGGATATCCAGGAAGACTGGTCCAAATGCCTCCCTACTACTGCCTGTGTGCGCACCTCTGACCCCACCGTCAAGTGGCTTCTCCACCACGGGGCATTGCTAGCATTCTTGAGGTCTAGACCCCTCTGTTGAGGCTGAGAGCATCTGGTTACTGTGAGGCAGGATGGACAGCCAGGCGCTCCCATCTGTTTGCTGATTCCGAGGGTTATTGTCGCCCTGCAGGAGGATGTCCCCACTCTACTTTTCAAGACATCCATAGCTAGAACGTGATAAGTTTGCTCACAGTCAGCAAGGGGGAACTAAAAGCTGCTGGGGTGTGTGTGTGTGTGTGTGTGTGTGTGTGTGTGTGTGTTGGGGGATATTCTAGGCCTGTGGTCATCTCCATGGTGTTGGCTGGAATACAGCAGGCATGTTTAATAGATTGTTGTGTTTCTTTGTTGCCTCTGTCCTAGATCTCCAGCTACACAGAGCAGGTTGTCAGGGGCCTCTGGGCCTCTGCAGCCACGGTCTTAGCTCTGATGCGAAGTGAGAGCCCAGGGGTCCTGAGGATCTGGTCTTCTGTTTTCACCTGTTCTGCCCTCTTACATTTGCTCTACATATACTGTTCAGAGCTTTTTTCATTGTGCTTAGGGGAGGAGTTGGGAAAACTGTCCTTCCTACCTTTCCTGAAACAGATGTCCCTCTGACTTCATTTCTGATATTTTAATTAATTAGCTGATTTTTAACGATACGGCTCCACAGGCTCAGGATTTCCCTGAGACAGAAAGGCTACTACCCCGTCCACACAGTGTTCCCCCATTGTATACAGCAATGTAATCCTTCAGTAACAGTCACAAGGCCACGATTCTGCTGGTTAAGTGTGTTCTGACGGTGTAGGTGCAGACCAAGCTAGAGGGCAGTGAGCAGTCACTAATGTGGGGCTAGTTGGAGAAGTTTCAGCTCTTGACTTCTATTTCCCCATGAATGACAAAGTCAACTCTTTCAAACTCTTCCCAAACATGCCTGGGTTTCAACAATGTGATTGCAAACAACACATCTGTCTGTGGGCGTCTATAATTGTTCCTCTTGCTGAGTCGTCTTGTTCTTTTAAGTCTCTGTAGGTGCTGGCTTGGGTTCCATCTCTTTCACTGGTTCCTCACCACAGAAATTTGAAGGCTGCGGACCAGGCACTTCATGAGCATCTCAATCACCCCCTGCCCGGGCTCCTGCTCACCCTAAATCCCCACTCTCCGCTTGTGCATCACCTCTCGTGTATGCTGGGCTGCTTTTGCAGTTGCCATCTCTGCAGAGCCTATGAATAACATCTGTCTCCAAGTGCACCGCTGTCCTTGTATTGGATGCAGTGACCTACTCAGGAATTGGAAGTGTGTGGGGGCTGTGTGGGAATAAAGCACCCAGCACAAGCACCTAGCACAGGCACGGGCTGAGCTTCCCTCTGCTCACAGGTCGCAGCACCAGGGCTGTCTCTGGTTGCTCCTTCTTGTGGGGCCCACGCATCTCCAAGCTGCCCAGCCCCCTCTCTGCTTCCCTTCAGTTTCTCCCCCCGTATTCCGCAGAGCACAAGGCTCTGTTGCTCACCACCATCGCTTCGGCTGTGTCTTGGAGAGCAGTTCGGGCTCCTCCTGTCTGGCAGAGGCATTGCTGCTTTGAGAGCACTGCTTGGCCATCCCTGGGCCCCAGGGGCACTTCATGGGGCACCAGCGGCAGGTCCTGCAGTAACCGGGTGTGGGAGCCCAGGTCTTTGCGTAATGTAGACGCCGGCTCCTTGACAGTTGCCATATGCCTCAAGAACACATTTTCTAGCTTGCCATTTGTCTTAAATGTTTGTTGTTTCACTGTTGTATAAATATATTTATATACATAAAATCTGTATTTGAAGTTGAATATATGTTTTTTCTTTAAATGTATTTTTTATTATTCAGGTGTGTTTATACTTTTAAAGGGTATAAAAAAACTGTAGTGAATTCTTCCTGTTTCATTATTTTTACTTCTAAATCCGCGATCCCGTTGGAAAAATTGTGAAGAAGAGAGATAGAACCCTGATTTCCCCTTCCACGTGTCAGAATCCCGCAACATCGTTTCCTGAAAAATTGTTCTCTGTTGATCTGCAGGGCCCCCTTTGTCACATGTTGGGACAACACCCAGACTCAAGTTCAATGCTAAATGCATACCTGAAACTCAGTTCTTTACAGATCTCTGTCCTTTATAAAATGGCCAGGATTCCTTCATAAACCATGCTTTGTGCCACCTCTCTCTCTTTTAAAGATGTATGTATTTAATTTAAAGCCAGAGTTACAGAGGAAGCAAGAGGGAGAAAGCCAGGGGGCCAGAGGGACAGACAGAGGTCACCGCTGCCGCTTTCTCCCCCAGATGGCCACCAAAAGTAAGATTTCTCACTTCTCACCACTGTTGCTGGGGCCGGAGCTGGGACAACGCTGCGCTCCAATGAGGTCGCTTTCCCATGGAAGCAAAGCTGTGGGCGCTGCCACACCACTGTCTTTTCCTTCTCTGCTGTCCTCTCTGGCCCTTCTGTAGCCCTGCAAGCAGAAGGAGCTGCAGTTGGGTGTGATGGCTAACACAGCAGGAGGTAACGAGTGGAGTGTGCTGAGTTGGCACCGATCAGGCTGGAGAGGTGGAGCATGGAGACTGGGTTTCTGGCTCCCTTCACACATTCAGAGCTCTTGCTCTTGGTGAAGGGCTGGGGTGCTGGGAGTGTAGAGATTGGGCCTGGCATGGATGGCAAAGGCACCATGCTGTCCTGTGCCCTTCCTGGAGGCTCGATGGTCCCAGAGCTGAAGCTGAGGGGTAGACTGCTGTCCTGACGCGTGGCTGTTCGGGGCCAGGAGGAAGCCACCGCATGCCGGGGTCGTGTGACCTCAGCAACCTGGGCTTCATCAGGACTTGGGCTGTGAGCGACGCACAGGGCCAAGCGTTTGTGTCGGGCTGAACTGTGCTCCTCCACATCCATGGATGGATGTTCTCACCCTACTTCCTCGGCTCCACCTGCCTCTGGATGTAGAGCAGCCATTGGTACCATGAGTTAGATGAGATTGTGCCACATCGGGTGAGCCTCTCATCCAGGGGCTTTGAGGAGGCTTTGGGGGAAGAATGTCCTGTAGCCTGCAGAAGCTGGACATTGCAGTCCAGAGCGTCCAGCCTGCAGAATGTGAGGCAATGCTGTGCTGGGTAAGTGACTGGCTTTCGGTCCTATGTGGCAGCTACCAAGCAAAACAGCACAGGGAGGGTCTACAGCGCCAGGGCCGAGGAGCAGGTCCCCAATCTGGATCTCCACATTCCTGGGGAAGATGCTAACACACATGCCCATATGGGAACTTTGGCTCCAAAGTCTCAGCTCCCTCCCCAGTCACTCAGGAATATGGCCACAAACGCAGGCCCGTCACCATCCTCTGCTGCAGACCCCCCACGGCTGATGTGGGCAGAGCCTGGTGGCTGGGAGCTTCTGAGTTCTCAGACCACACGTGGCATCTGCTGCTGTTTTCCCTGGGAAGGAACGGCTCTTCCCATCCCAAGTCCTCGCTGATGGATTCTGTAGAGCTTTCTGGATTGTAACAACATGCGTCCATGGGAACTGTCTCATTGGCCTGGCTGTAGGAACACTGCACCTGCAGGGTGGAGGGCAAAAGTGATGCTTCTCCTGGTTGGTGAGTGATGGTAAGGCAGGCAGTGCACACTAGGCCTGGGCAGCTGCTTCCTCAAGCTCCTGATGAGCCAGCCCCTTTCACAGATCCTCACTCATTACAGAGGTGGGGAGATGGGCTCTTTTCTATTTATTAAATTTTGCTGAGTTCATCATAGTTTCATGTTTATTACCCGAAGCATACATCACAAACTTGTGATGTGTCTATCCGTACAGCACATAGTTTCAGAATCAAAGGAACCAGAACACACACACACACACACACACACACACACACGATGGGGTCCCTAAACCCCAGATTTGCTTTCTTGGGTGGAGACCTGCAACAGAGGCGAGTGCCAAGTAGCGACTCCATGGATGTGGTTGGATGCTAGGTGACAGGTCCGCAGCCAGATTTTCAAGCACTTTGTCCCTGGAGCAGACAGACTTAGTGCACTGCAGCAAAGATGGACAGATGTATGGGTGAGGGGCTGCTTCTCCAGGATGAAGGTGGTAGTGAGAAACAATAGTGGGCAAGAGCGGCAGGGCCTGAGCTGTGTTCACAGTTGGATGTTCAGCAAGTTACTAAGCTCTCTCTGTCTGTGAGATGGAGTCAGTGCGGTTGGCCCCTAGGATTGCTGAGCTGAAGAACTGCTCCACAGATAGGGCTAGGGAGACATGCTGAGGTTACTCAAGGGTTGTTACAGCAGGGCCAATAGCATCAGGGGTGGCAACAGCCAGAGGATGGCCAGGGCACCCCTCCCTCTTCCCTGGCTTCCCCAGGGCTCTCTGAACAGGGCACAGTCAGTACAGCTTCTCAGAGATCTGAAGGTGCTAGGAGCATCTTCAGACCCAGCAGGGACTGCACAGTCTGAGCCCATGGGAGGCCTTCCCTGCATGCTGTACCCCCTGCCCTGGGCCTCACAGCAAGAAGCCTGTCTTTCCCAGTGTCCCACTCAGGCTGCCTGGGTTCCTAGCACCTTGCCCTGCTTGCTGCAGCCCCACCTGGAGCCTGCCTGCCTGCCTGGACTTCGCTGGTGCAGCTCCAGTGATCAAGGCTTCCACGCCACAACTCCTCGTTAGCCACATCTGTTTCCTCCTGTGTTACCACAACCACCTTCTCATTGACTTCTCTCATTTACTCTTTTTAAAAGTTGTGTTAGCATATGCACCTCACCCACCATTTGCTAGGAGCCCTTGGAGTAGCCGGATTTGCTTCTTGAGAGAAAATTGAAGCTCACCAGCCTGGTGTTCAAGGCCCTTTGCAGAAGCCCGTGCCTTGCCCCCCGGCTTGCTGTGGTCAGCCACTTGGCTGCTTTGGGTGTCTGGAACCAGACTCTGCCATGTCTGGCCAATCCCAGCAGGTGAAGCTTTCTGAACTTTTCTTCATCAAGCTCCCCCTTACAGACAACTGGGATTACAGCCAGAGCCTGCCTGGGGAGGGCAGCCTTGAACAAGGTGCCCAGCTAAGTTAGATCCTCACATCCTGTGTTCTTGGCAGTGGTCTTTATGGCGGTGGGGGCTGATGTCACTGCTTGGATGCCTCTGAGAACACGAGGCCCATGAGGACTGGCCAAGGCTTGTCCTGTACCCAGCCATGATTCTGGCTGGAACTCAGTGGGGACTCCATAGGGAAGGAGTCTCCTGCTGTGAGAGGACAGCTTCTGGTCGCATGGACAGTGACCCTGGTGGCCTTGCTGATCCTCCACATGAGAAGACAAGGAGAGACACAGTTGTGGTACCCGGAAGGCTTTGTGTCATGAAGAATTCGGGGAATATGCATCACTTCCTGCCAGGGCCCTGCACACAGGCACTCCTCATGTCCATCAAATCTACAAGACGAGAGGAGGGGACAAAGGGAGCAAAGGTGCAATGTGGGAGAATTGCTCTCTTCTGATGTGAGGCTGTTTTCTGTTAAGCAGAAGAGCTGCGGAGGGAGTAAACACAGGGGACACGTGCTGGCTGAATCTGTCCAGCTCCACGCCAGGGTTCATACATCTGAGGTGATGTCAGACACGCTCAGGCTCCTGCGAGACAGCAGTGCCGCTTCCCGGAGGATGTTCACCTGCCATGCTTTGCTCTTGGAAGAGCTGAGCGATGGGGCCCAGTCATGGCTCCTGGACCAAGGCAACAGTGACCTGCATGGTCCTGCAGACACTCTAGCAGGGTCGCTGGGGGGTAGGGTGTGCTCCTATTTGAGACATAGACTGTTGCAAGCCGCATCTGTATGCACTGGCCACATGCTGTGCCTAAAATGGCGCCGGCCGGAGAAGCCACACCTTCGTGCGTGGTGGAAGTCACGTAGCCTTCGCAGTACTGCGCAGGCGCCTAGCGCATGCGCAGTGAGCTGCGGCGTGGCCAGCACGTAAACACTGGGACTGACGAATCCAGTCGCCCAGAACCCTGCGTAATCATGACGCCGACCTATCATCGGCGGAGGCGGGGCCAGACAGCACATAAGAGCAGAAAGCCTGCCGGGATCCGAGCCTCTTTCCTCTTCATGTTGCTGTGCACAATAAATTTTACCGCAGAAGGCTTCACTCGCGTCTGCGTCTTATTGCTGGGCGGTAAGACACGTGGGCGCGACAACTGGTGCCGGAAATCCGGGACTTGGAGGGGGCCTCCCGTTTTGAACGGGACGAAGTCAGAACTGCGGCCAAAAGACAGGTAAGGAGCTCTGAGAAGGAGAACTTTCGGGTGACTAGGAGCATAAATCAGAGGTATAGGAACCACCGCTTCTGGTTATAGACATGGGCGCACGGTTCTCTCTGGTGAAATTTTTGCAGAGGGTTTATGCCCTCCGTAAGGGAGCGGTCAGAGAGAGTGACAAAGCCCTTCAGTCTGCCCAGGATAGTCTCTCAGAAACAGAGCGGGAGAGGAGAACCGGTTTGAAGCAAAAAATAGAGGTGAAATTGAAAGCAGTATCTTCCTCATCAAGTTCGGAGACGTCCGACGCTGAGGAAGGGTACAAGCGGGATAGGCGCTTAGAACGCAAACAACCCGCAGGAATCAGAGGAGGATCAGAAAAGGAGAAGAAAGAGAATGGCGGTGCTACTGCGCCGGCCACGCGCGGCCCATGGCCTCAGGGCTCTGGAGCCATTACACTAATGGCTCCTCCTCCTGTGACGCCATCTGCCCCGCCCATGAGTTATGGTGCCGGCTCTTCCTTCATCGATGCAGCCACGCGCCGGGAACTTCAAAATATGTTCCCCGTCTTAGAAGAAGAAAGGGAAAGAGTTTACAGACAGGTAGATGCAGCATTAGTGCGAGAATTGGCCATGTCTGTAAAGCAATATGGTCTTCATGCCAATTACACTTTGTCCCTGTTAGAACGTATGGGGGGAATGAATATGACTCCCTCTGATTGGCAATTTGTGGTGAAGGCTGTTCTCCCTAATATTGGATCATATCTAAATTGGAAGAGCCTATGGCAAGAGCTTTTGGCTGAGACCGCCCGGGCAAATCAACAGCGCGGCGGTGATGCTTTGACCTGGACTTATAATATGCTTTCCGGACAAGGCCAATACTCTGATGATCAAAATAGATATCCATGGCCAGTGTATACCCAGATCTCTACTGCAGCTATAAAGGCTTGGAAGGCCCTTTCACTTAAAGGGCAAGAGAAACTGGGCATTACACAGGTTAAGCAGGAGCCAGATGAGCCCTTTGCTGATTTTGTGGCACGTGTAATGCAGAAAATGAGTGTCAAATTAGTGACTGGCATCCCTTATAACCCACAAGGTCAGGGGATAATCGAACGTGCTCATCGCTCTATTAAGGAATTGTTGCAAAAGCAAAAAACCACCTGGGAATCGCTTGGCCTCGCCAGTCAGAGCCCTTGGGCCACTCTAGCCCTGGCTCTCTTCACCATCAATTTTTTACAGCTGGATGAGAAAGGCCTCAGTGCTGCAGATCGTCATTCCCTCAACACGGCGCAAGAGCAATCTTGGGTCAAGTGGAAGGATGTTCTGGAGTCCAAATGGAAGGGCCCAGACCCAGTTATTAGGCAGGCTCAAGGAGCCATTTGTGTGTTTCCACAGGACGCCCCAGTTCCGGTTTGGGTTCCAGCTCGATTGACTCGTTCCTGTCCATCACCGCCTTCTGACATTTCCACAACCGCTGGAGTGCTTGCACGAGGATCTGACTTGGGGAAGATTCATGCAACCCCGCAATCAGAAACTCCTCCTACAATCCCACAGGACAATGGTGCCCCGCCCAGTGCAAACACGGCTGATGGTGCAACTAATGGTCTGTATGGTGCTTGTGAGGACCGTGATTGCTGAGCCACGATGAGGAGTTCTGAGTGTTTTTCCACGACCCTTACCGGTCGCCTACTCAGCCCGAGTGTTTCCTTGATTTTTTCTTCTTTGGATTTATCTTTTCTCCCTTATGATGATATTAAGGAGAATGTGAGTAATTTTTTATTCCCCCTACAGGACACGCTTTGCTTTCAAGCATTTCCTGAAAATTTTAGTGTCAAGGTTTATGTGTTATTCCTTTTCAAAATGTTTCAACGGCTGCTAATCTTTCTTGCCAGCTTTCTTCTTATCTTTTAGGAAATTGGACGAGAGAATTTGATACTTTACAGTCGGAGTTGAGAATTGCCATTGTCCAGATTAATTTTACATGGGTGGATCCTGTTGTTGCTGAAACCCTGGCCACTTGGATTTGGAACATCACTTCCCATATTAAGGAATGGGTGGGAGTGGTTGTGCTGATTCTGCTCTTGTGTGCAGGCTGTGCCTTATGCCTTTTTTGCCTGTGTCAAGTGAGAAGCCGCGCTCAGCGAGATCGTGTGGCAATACATCAAGCCCTACTAGCCATGCAGTATGGTGACTCCCCCATGGTATGGTTGAGCATGCTTCAACAGGTTTAGTTAAGAGCATGGACATCATGGCTCCTGCACCTCAGGCCATTATGGCATTGCACTGAGTTCGAGCATGATGCACCTGACTAGCCCTTGCACCTCGCAGGACTTATCCATTGCACGCGAGAGGGTAGTCACTCTTATAACTGCCTTGTCGAGACATTGCTCTTTACAACCACCGCGGTTGTAGCCCATGACAGGTAAGATAGACCCAGACAATTATCGGTCTAAGACAGGGACTACGTCAAGCCACGCAGCCTCCCTATGACGGATCGTGCGCCTTGAGTCTACAACCTAAGACAGGCCCATACCAACTTATTTTTTCTATTGTATAAGAAGGGGAGAGATGTTGCAAGCCACATCTGTATGCACTGGCCACATGCTGTGCCTAAAATGGCGCCAGCCGGAGAAGCCACACCTTCGTGCGTGGTGGAAGTCACGTAGCCTTCGCAGTACTGCGCAGGCGCCTAGCGCTGCGCAGTGAGCTGCGGCGTGGCCAGCACGTAAACACTGGGACTGACGAATCCAGTCGCCCAGAACCCTGCGTAATCATGACGCCGACCTATCATCGGCGGAGGCGGGGCCAGACAGCACATAAGAGCAGAAAGCCTGCCGGGATCCGAGCCTCTTTCCTCTTCATGTTGCTGTGCACAATAAATTTTACCGCAGAAGGCTTCACTCGCGTCTGCGTCTTATTGCTGGGCGGTAAGACACGTGGGCGCGACAATAGACACCTATAGGTGGGGGACCACTGAGAAGGCTTCTCTCTGAGGTGCTGGCCTGGGGTGAGTTAGAAAGCTCCCAACCACGGCCCATTCAGATGATTCTAACACAGGTACACGGCAGCTCTCAGCCAGGAGCCTGTTTTCAATAATGACCTTTGGCCTGTGCAGAAGGCGTCATGTGAGGGAATTTTGCTGATAAAACTTCAGCACGCTGCAGAAGGAAGCTGCTGTCCACTGAGCAACCCCAGAGCCCTGGGGCTGTGGGCCTCAGATGGGAGAGTTCTGAGGGTCCCACTGGTGCCACCTCAGGAAGGTGTCCTCATTGGCTTCACTGTGAAGACAGACCCGGAACATGTGGAGATAAAGTCACTTGCCAAAGGGTACTGAGGAAGGGTGCGACAGAGACAAGATCTGACCCGAGCTTTCTTCCCCAGAGGACAAGCTGACGCGCGCTGCAGGTTTGAGGCGAGGACAAAAGCGCCTTTGGAGTCAGTGCTTTTCAGTTGGGCAGCCAACTGTGCAGCCTAGATGGTTGCATAGAGAAACACAACAAATACCCATAAAGAGATGCTTTTAGAATCATGCGCATGAGCTCAGCGATACACACATGTGCATTCCTATGTACCCACGCACACACAGATTGCACTATCCTGGACGGATAGGAGCTAGAAGTCCCCGGCAGACCCTCCTCTCGGCCATGCGGGGTTGAATGAACTGGTTTGGGTAAAGGCTCAGGCTGGTATTCATGTGGGTAACTAAGTACTCAGTCATGCCCTTGGCTTTTGTGTGCTGCATTTCTGCCTCAACACCATGTGTGTCTCATAACGTCACCCATTTGGCAGTCTCAGCAAAGGGGCTGGCAGTGCATCCTTGCCCTGTAGTCTGGCAGTAGACAGAAGATGTGCTGCTGCTCAGAGCAGGGAGCTGTGAGAGTGGGGTCTCATATGCCCCACGGGGAGGGGCTCTTCCCACCAGCCTCTGGCTTCCCGAGACCCAGGAAGGAGAGAGCAGTGGGACAGGGCAAGGTCAAGTGTCTCAGCTCTTAATGTGCATTTTCTAGAACTGTGGTAGTGTATGGGGTTTCATGGATATTATGTAATAATCACACTTGATTCTTGCCTTCATGGACTCAAAGTTGATAAGCAAAGCAGCATAAGACAAAGGGTGAAGGAAAACAAGAGACGTGAAATAGCCATAAAAGGCAGCTGGCGAGATGGCCCAGTTTCCAGGCTCCTGTGCTTGGGTTGGAGGCCAATGTCTCCATAACCAGACACTGAGTTCAGCTCTGCTTGCTGTCACTCAGAGCAAAACCATGTGTCTCTTGTAGCGATTTGTCTTTACGAAGGGAACGAGTTGAGGTTTCTATCCTGAATATCCAGGGAGAGGTAACAGTGTGAAAGGGCTGTAAAGTGCTGTTCGCAGGCCGAAGAAGATGAGTGTCAAAAGAGATGGTTATTGTTCGGTGTGCTCTCAGTATTCTCTAGGACAGACTGCCTGCCACAGGGCAGGGGGCAGGGAAGCACTGTGCACAACGCTACTTCTCAGGCCAGGGGGGTCTACTTGTGGTTTCCCTGGGAGAAGCCAAACATTGGGAACGCAGTGATGGGGGATGGCAAATCATCTGCTACATTGCTAGGACGAATCACATTGGGTATGTCCTGCACAGGCCAGCCCGGAGGAGTGCAGAACACCCACGGCAGGACAGACAGCCACCTGGTTCTGCACTGGTGAGGATGCTCACTCCAGGCCTGGCGGCAAGGGCCTTGGGAGGCCACACGTCTGCTGTGCCTGAGTGTCCACAGAAGCCTAGCTGAAGTAGACAGTCAGTCCTAAATGACAAAAACATGACCATGGGCAATTCGGCCAAAGCTGGTGCTAAAACTGCCTCTTGCGTTGCCAACATCTGATGTCTGAGCACTGGTCGGAGTGGCTGCTCTGCCTCTGTGCTTCCTGATATTGCCCCTAGGAAAGCAGCGGAAATGGCCCAGGACGTGGGCCTCTGCACCCAGTGGGACTTCTGGCCTGCCTCAGCCCATACCCACGGCATCGACTGAGGAGTGAGCCAGTAAATGGAAGATTTCTTACTCTGTTTCTGTGTCTCTCTTTTCTCTCTTTGTCACTCTGTCTTTCCAACAAATAAAATATTTCTTAAAAGCAACAAAATTAAATCCTTTTAATAAAGCAGCACTCAAAGGTCTCTTTATCTTAACCCAATTTCTCCCAGGCTCTAGAACACAGAAAGAATGTGCCAAATGTCTGTGAAGTGAGTTTTAAGAAGCCTGACACTACTAGGACAGAAACTGAGAATAACTTTAATGTCTTTATGTTTAGAGATGAATAAATAATTCAGAAATGGATTGAGTTTATGGATTTATAAAATGTTCATTCAGAGTAGTACTTCATTAAAAATACAAGGTCTAGTTCAGGTTGATTGGAAAGTTCAAGGTATAGGCTAAACATTGGAGGTTGTGCCAAGGGGAAGACTCCCCCAAGAAAAGAGTGAAGGAAGGGCGGCACTGAAGCCACTGCGGAGGCCCAGGGTCTCTGAAGCTGCTGCTCGAGTCCGGCAGACACAGCAGAGAGAGGAAGGTGGACCTACCTCGGGCTTCAGAGAAGAGTGGCGTCAAACCGTGGACAGCAACCAGCCCCAGAACAGAAACCCATGCACGTATTTAATCAAAGGATGAACCAATCTGTTATTAGTTAGAAAGTCAGAATGCGGCAGCAAATCCAAGAGAACTTAACTTTACAAAGTTAATTCAGTATTGCCAGGCCAGCTCTTTTATTGTGTTAGGGATTTTTTTTTTTTTTGTTTAGAAAATCCTTCGGTTCCTGGGTTGCATGTGGCTAGGCCTCACGGAGTTGGTGCTGGGCTGTGGGCAACACTAAGTACTTGGTTTGCTCTGTCTCAGTACACAGCCAGGCCACTCAGGTGGAGGTTGGGGGTGCACCTGCTCTGGCCTGGCCTCTCCTCTGCTGGCCTCCACTGGCTCCATAGCAAACACCTCAGCTTCCCCCGGGAACAAAGGCAACGTCCTCCTTGCAGGAATGCGTCCCACGCTGGCAGCGAGCTGAGCTGGATGACCTCACAGGTCTGCCCGAGCTCTAATTTCTGTGTCTCTGAAAATCATCGCCCGTTATAGGAAACAGATGTTGGCCGCGTCCACAATGCTTGGCGGCTCTGTCGCCCAGCAGCCCCTCCACGAGGCGCGTAGGGTGCCACCTCTCTTTACCCCTCCCCTGTACCACTTCTCAACTCCGTAGCAGCTGATGAGATATTTATAGCCCCCTTCTTTAGCCTGCCAATTATAATTATCAATATCTCCACGGGTAGAAAGAAAGCGCTCTTCGAGTTGTGTGCAGGATGTGATAAGCCAATGGGAGTTGGAACGTGGAAAGAGTTTCTTCCAGTTATGGACAAAAAAGGTGCACGTGGGAGTGAGGCTGCCCGACCTGACCATAAGGGGAACATCCCTGCGCTTGCAGTGCCTTGGAGGGCAAGCCGCAAGCAGGGATGCATTCCGGGTAGCCCTGGCTCGACTACACAGGCTGTCCCCGCTGTCCGGAGCGAGGGAGCTGCTTTGGGTGTAATAAATACAAGCGAAATCTTCCACGAGCAGCGGGCGCCTTAATTGCTGTTTTGGAGCTCACGTCTCCGCAGTTATTGCGCTCAGCATTTCATCTCCAGCTGCAGCCCAATTTTTGCCAAATATAGATAAATGAAGTTAAAGTTATTGGCAACCGCTAGTTCTGGGTCCCTGTTTTGAGTTTATAGATTTCATAGGAACGGCATCACTTTGTTTCAGGTCCCAGACGATTGTTCCTCTCAAGTGAGAACTTTCTCCACCCTCCAGCCCCCGCACCAGTGGTGCAGTCTGGGATAAACACGCCTGGTGGACTGAGGGTTCTTTCTGGTCGTGCGGAGGCTGAGCCATGCAGTTGGGGGAATGTGGGCTCTCCATCCGGACAGCACAGCTTCAGCATTCTCAGCTCTTACAGGAGGGTGCTTGATCACCCAGGTGTCCTCCCAGGGAGGGCACCTCCACGCCAACCCGCTGCCTCCTGGGGCTCCCTGTAGAAGCAAGCTATCTGATGCGCTTCATCTGCACACAGCATTTCCTTCCAACCTCCAACTGTGGGTAAAACTCTGGACTGTAAACCCTCCATGGAATGGCTCTTCAAGAACTGCAAAGTGCAGACTGAAACACGGTCTCTGACCCTGGGCACGCCTCCCACTGTGTTCTGAAGCCAGTGAGCTTTGCTCACAGCACCTCCAGCTTTGCCTGCTGAGATCCAGGGCTCCCACCCTGTTTGCAAGACCAAGCATGGATGAACCAGGAGATGACCAAGGAGGGAGCTCCAGGAGATGACTCCAGGATGAACCATGGAGGGAGATGCCTCTGTGTCACCCTTTCCTGTGTCTTTTCATCTTGAACCCACCAACACGCTTAGGGACTTTGTTATGGCTTTGCTTTCTCACTTCTTACCATCCAGGTGACTTTGTAGCTTTGGTAACCCTTATGTTGCTTTCCAGAACTCTTACATGGTTCTAAAATAGGATGTGAAGACGTCCTTTTAGAAGGAGGTCGTTGTATGAGTCAGAGTCAGTTCCACTATTACACACACACACACACGCACACACACACACACACACACACAATCTCAATGTCTTGACCATTAACTGGGAATTTCTTGCTTAGATCATTATTACTTCTATTATTTTGGGGTCAGAGAAACAGATACAAGAGGTTGGGGAGGAGCCCATTTGCCGGCTCTCAGTGCAAATGCCAGCAACTGTGGGCCAGGCCAAAGCCGGATTGCAGCAAGCAACTCACAGGGGTGGGAAATAACCAACAAGTGGAGCCTTCTCTGCTGCCTGCAACGGCAGGAGGAGGGCGTCAGCGGCGAGCTGGGTGCTGACCCAGGCTCCCTGATGTTGGACATCTTAGCAGCTAGACCCAACACCTGGCCCTGGCTGGATTTTTAGCATTATTTTTCCGTCACTGTTGGTGCCATCCATACTGACATCATTTCCTAATTTCTTGGCTCAGTGACCCTTGTATTTGTAACACCAGGACAAGTTATTAACGCATCCTCCTTTCCTCCCTTTCTTCTCAGCTTCCTCCTCCCGTCTCCTTTCGCACTTGTATTTTGCTTCTCTGGGAGTGACTTAACTCTGTGTAAGAGAGTAGCACTAAGAAAATTATTTTGATATTCCAAAATGGCCCTGTAAAG